TAATTAAATGTACTTGTGTTTTGTTAGAGACCCTTGTATATTCGCATATGACTAATCCGTAGATGTAATTAAATATATATATATATATATATATATATATATATATATATATATATATATATGTATGTATGTATATAATGCATTTAAAGATGCTACTGAGGTATCCAATAATTAAGTTTATTTAAAAAAAAAAAAAAAAATTTGAACATATATAACGAAATCGTAGCAAAGTTTTATAATTAATGTATATATACATAGGATGGCAAGTAAGGCTGGAGGAACATAGAACTAAAATTAAACAACTAAATGATCAGAATTTTACTCTTTATATTATAGTTGTATTTGTCTCTTTAGCGATCTGTCGAAGAGAGTTAATTAGTTATAAGAACGATGTTTTTGTATTTTACTATATAATCTATAAAATAATTAATATTGTTCATACGTCTATGCGATGTCTATGCGAGCGAAATGAAACTTGTAGAGTTGCGTCCAATGTCAATTCTCAATTATCTTTCACTCTACATCTACTCTACATATCCAGATTAAATGTATGATTATAATTATATAAATTTCAAATTTTAATGTATGCCATAATTGTTAAATAGATTTTTGTAATTTTAAATTTATTTTAAACATGGAACTAACAATTTTTTAAATTTATTATATTGTATATATTTTAATTTTGAAAAATAATTACTTATTCAATTATGTAAATTCATTTATAAATTGTTTTATAGATCTATTCTTGAGATACATAAATATGCGTATGTAGGTTTTTCTTCTTTGAAATAAATGCAAAATTGTTAGATAAAAATGTAAATAATTACTAATCGTCGAAAATATAAAATTTACAATTTTAAAATTTATATTATTATATATTTACCAAACTTTATCATTACAGAACTATTGAATTTTATAAATAATTTTTTAACGAATAAGTTTTTTTTAATTACTAAACGTCGAAAATATAAAATTTACAATTTTAAAATATATATTATTATATAAGCTAATAGAAAAAAATTACTATATTAATTGGTCAATCATATAAACAAAAAATTTCTAAAAATACTGTTATATTTGAGACTGAAATACAGAGAGAGAGAGAGAGAGAGAGAGAGAGAGAGAGAGAGTCTTGAAATCGTTATTTTATGACATTTGTATTTATCTATCAACCAAAATGGAGAATTTGTTACAGGATTAACAATATGCTTATGGATTAACAAAACTACACATGTGTTCTAAATTTTTCATGAAGATTGAGCTATTTATATGGTAGCGTATAACATGTTTGATATGACTATATTATTATTTATATGACACTGTAAGCACATTTACAAAAAGAAATTATTTAATTCAAGTAAACAAATTTTATAAAAATATATATATATATATATATATATATATATATATATATATATATATATATATATATATAGAGAGAGAGAGAGAGAGAGAGAGAAAGATTATACGAATTATTCGTTTTGTTTTATATTGAGATGCTTTATACGATGAGCAATATTACAATAATATTATAAAAATAAAATAACAATTTTTCTTGCATATTCTGACTTTAGAAATAATGGACTTATAATCATTCGCGTTTCATTCGTTTGATTTTATAATATAATTATAATATAATATTTCTATGGTACTTTAAATATTTAATTATTGGGTTTTGTACAGTTTATTTTTTATATATTTGATGAAAAGACAATTAAATATAATACCTATGCAAATGACAATTTATTAATTTATAAGTAATATTGATGGCTGCAAATCAATACGTAAATGTTATGAAATGAAGCGTTAATTTATTAAATAAATTAATAGGTAAATTAAACATATGCATCTTTAAGTATAATTGAACTACCATAAACAACGAAAGAAACGCTAAAACATCATCTACTTACATTAATATAAATGTGTTGGACCAATTTAATGAGAACCAGAAGAAAAGCAATTACATTATTATGCGCATTTGGATAACAAATATTCGCAATTGTTATCAATTAATAAATGAAAAGTTAAATAAATTTACAAATAATTTAATTATTTGTCTTAATGTTGTTTTGTAAATGAACATATGCAATGATACGTTTATTCTAAAGATATATATTAATATAAAATAATTTTTATTAAAAAAAAAAAAATTTATTTTATTAATATTATATTAGTACATTAGATAATTATATAGTTTATATATTAATATATATATTAATATACATTGAGATATATAAGAGTATGAACGATATTCAAAATATTATAAATTAAAAAGATTATATATTAAAGAGACGAATGTCTTTTCACTTCTCGAAATAATAAATATTTTAATGGGACTTGTGCACGAGGATGTTACCCTCCTTCTTCTTCGATTCTATGGTACTCTTTCTTATACCTTTTTACTTTCATTCGTTTACTCTCCTTCTCTTATTCTCGTTCAAACACTAACTTAATCGCTATTTTTTCTTTTCTGTCATAAAACTCATTCTCATTTTCTCTTTATCACTGGTATATTTTCAAAAATTTCCAATAATATTTGGACTTTTCGTTAATTACATATTAAATTACGCTTTTTAATGTCAATATACATATAAGTACATAATATATTTGTAGGTATTTGAAGGTATTCTTAGTTTATTTATAAGTTACAACATTACCAATTGATTATTTGCATTAATCATTTAATTAATCTAATTGCAAATACCGAAAGTGTCTCATTATGCAGGCTAACAGCGTTCGATAATTGAAGCGATTCTAATTTATTGAAAAGTAAGTTATATCATTGTGAAAGTATATAGACATGCAAATTGTCAAACTTTAATAATAGTTGGAAATGAAATTTTATTAAAATCAGTATATATCTGTCTATTAAATTTTATTCCACCTTAGAAGCTATTTTAAAACGTGGACATAATAATTTTATTGGCTATGGCTCCATATATATATTTTATATATATTTTTTTTTCTGACTATCGATATAGCGTCATTTATAATATATTATGATTAAAAGTACAAAGAAAGTTCGTAAAATTTTAAAAAAAAAAAAAAAAAAAAAATATAAATATGCCCTTTTTGAGGTGCAATATCTAAAAGCATTAAAACATTTTAACAAAATATTATAAAATAATATATATTATGAATAAAATTATCTACTTTCAAATACTTTATCATTACAGAACTATTGAATTTTATAAATAATTTTTTAACGAATAAGTTTTTTTTTAACTTCTATACTATAAAAACTTCATTTCCACTTATAAAATGAAAAGAGATTTACATTAATTTCAATAATTATAAAAATATTTCTATAAAAAGTAGATCGTAACATATTTCTAATAAAGTTAAAACTTGTGATAACATTAATAATACTAGGGGAGATTGATATCGAATAAACGTTTGCCACAATACATCGCGATTTAAAAGCTTCCAGTAGTAATTAAGAATTTTTAATTTGATATTAACTGTTTTAATAGATATAATATCTCGTGTTTTTTTTTTTCTTCTTTTCTTCTTTTCTAATTGAAAAACTGTACAAATATGAATCAATATATTAAAATTAATTTTTTTTTTTTTTTACGATGAGTCTCATTACATGTACAAGTACGTTAGTAGCCGTGTGTAGTTTAGGTCGAATTCCTTTATTATTTATATCCTATTTGTGAATGCTTAATAGATGTTTTTACAAAGGTTCGAATCGATAATCACGTTAATTCATTTGGTTTCTTATATTATATTCATGGATTGCTATCGCTTATGTTTTCTGCCCTCGAGGAAACAATTCACACACAATTCACAAGAAAATCACTTGCTTTGCACTGTCCTTGTGCGGTCAAAATTACAAAAACGAAATCACGTTCAATAATCAGATATAACAATTACAACAACTAATATTATGTATTTTTTACAAAATATATTTCAAGACGGAGATAATAAACAATGGATACAAAACAGATGGACAGAGATAATATAACAAAAGGCAGATAAATAGAAGCGCCAGTATTAAAAAAGAAATTAAATTAAGCTCAGTAGTAGTAGTAACAGAAATAACCGAATGCAACTGCTTATAGAAAAAGTTGGAAAACTGCACTTTTTCTCTATATTACAAAACTTTGCCAACGTAATGTTCACTTTTTACACTCAAGATTTTAATTTTACAAGCCTGCAATGCTTAGATTAAAGAGTTCGTTATTAATGCAGGACTTTTTGGCATTATTACTACGGGAGTGAGAAAAACATGAAAAATAGAGGAATATTTTCTTTAAAAAAAAAAAAAAAAAAAAAAAAAAAAAAAAAAAAAAAAAAAAAAAAAAAAAAAAAAAAAAAAAAAAAAAAACTTGGAAGTTTTCTCAGAAATATCTCCATCCTATTTAAGTTGGTGTCAAAGCTATAATTTTGATTTCTATTTTCTTGCTGTCTTACGCAATTTACGTCTCTCCTTACTCTTTGTGTGCCTTTCATTTGGTTATGTTATTTCTCACTTATTATACTTGTCTCTCGTCTCTCGTCTCTCGTCTCTCGTCTCTCGTCACTCGTCTCTCGTCTCTCGTATCTCGTCCCACACGCGCGCGCGCACTCTGTATGCGTAGAAAAGTTAAGAAAGCAGAAGTTTCAGTGAACATTTAATTAACGAACGTAGAAATTATTATTGGAATTAAATTATAGTGCAAACGGATAGCAAATAAAAGATGAATAAATGAACGATAAATGCCATATGGCTCGGAACGCTTGCAAATGAAAATTGCCAATTAATAAACAATAGTAATAAGTATTTGTTGGAACTTATCGCTCGAATAAAACGATCGCGCAATATCATAAAGTAAAATTTTCCTCCAAAATGGAAGGAATTAACGCCATGGAGAATTGCTCGGCAGATCGCCGCAACTTACAAAGGGTAGGAAGAGAGAAATGGTAGGAGCACGAGTCTAATTGGAAATGGCTGCCCCGAGGTCTGAAATTACGAGATACCGAATATGCTTGTGTATGCACGTATGTATACTCACGTCGAGGAGGTTCATAAGAGAGGCACGTCGACGTGGGTCGGGCTCGGTCATGGCTGCGAGGACCGACTGGAGGGCGGAAGACGGGGACACGGATACGGTGCCCGTCAGCGCTGTTACCCGGGGTGTCGTGTCCAGTAAAGCCCTCCCGAGCGAATACATCCACATCTGGAAAGCAAAGAAGGGAGAACGACGTTTAATTACCTTAACGCCGACGCTATTAAAATGCTCTTATTCTAATTTGCATGCCACCGCCAACTGGAGAAATTTATATTTCAACTGCCTCGACGTTGTTGTTCCAAATTCATTTTTACGCCACAGCTGCTTGCTCAGTCGAAATGTTTCTCCTCTCGATTTCTTTATTTATTTATTGTCGTGCACGTAGCACTTGACTTTTACAGACTTACACCCTATCCCGTAAAATCCTGAGTCGATATTATTTATTAGCGCACTCAATAGCGGCAACGTAGCTTTTGCATTTACTTCTTCCTTCATCGCTCTTTATCTATATCGTTACGTTTCATTTCTTAATATGAGTATAACACTCACACCGTGAAATGTATATCACATGCAGTAATCTATCGATCTTTTCCGATCTACGCTATTGTTTATATATGTCGCTGTAATTATTAAGAACGTAATTTCAAGAAGTGACTTTAGTAGGAGGAAAAGATATTCATTCCATTATTAAATTATAACTTTAACATATATTCCCATTATATTTATATTCATAATAAAGATGCGAAGTGAACTAAGTCATCGATCTTTTGGAACCTTAAATATTATAATTCAACTGTTTAATAAAACATCATACTTGTTTTATTCATCCGATGTATTTTGTTTTTGTTTTTGTTTTTGTTTCTTCAAGTATAAGTAACAATTTATCTAAATTAACAAAATTAAATTCTCTTCTCAAAGAAGGTTATAAATATTATTAAAAGCTTGATTGCTTTCCACATTCGGTTAGATAAATGATACCGCAAAATGTCTATTGTACTGATAACGTTATGGATTAGCTCCAACATTTGCCATAGAGGTTTAATTAGTCTTTAGTAGAAAATTAATAGATACAGTTTGCCTATACATTTATAATGATTATATGTTTAAATAACCAATAAATATTATATTCGATCTCTGTCACGCGCACACACACACGCGCGCGCGCGCGCGCGCGCAAACATTAAAATCATTTAACAAATTTTAACTTAAACATTTTGTGTTTTACCATTAAAGCATATTTTATCGTAAATATCAATATCTAAATTATAAAAATCTGCCTAAACTTGATACTATCTGTAATTAAAGTTTATATAAATCTAAGTTAGTAGTTAATCTAAGTTATCAGATAAGTAGGGTACCACCCCCTTAATTATATGATCGACTAATCAATGTGAAATTTTTATTACAGACTGCGATAACTTTCTACGTAGGCATTCTTTGAGGTATATTGAATAATTCAAAGGTTTTATACATCTATTGAATTTATGAAAAATATTTTGCAATAATTTTATGAATATTAAATTTTAAGTTTCTTTATAATGTTTCTCATGCAATTAAGTTTTGCGATGATTTGAAGGATCGTTTGTCGCTCAAGAGTGTTTGACATTTTACGATAAAGAATTCAAATAAATTTGTATTATACTTTAAATTTGATAGGATTAAGTAGAAAAATAATCAATATAACAATAAATGCTACATTTATGAATTCATTTAAAAAAAAAAAAAACATGTAATACGTAATTACTGTAAAGTCTTTTCAGCACAGAATCGTAAAAAAATGACCCAAAACAATTTAAAAATACTATCTCGTTAGGATTTAGTTGTAAAATTCTCAAAAAGATAAAATAAAAAATAATGAAAAAAAGGTTAAGTATTCATTGAAGAGGCAACTGTCATTCTCGGCAATAATTGCCAACGGATAATAAAAGTAAATGGGACAGTATAAGTTTGTAGATAGCTCTGGCTATAATCGATAATGGAATAAGTCATGCGTGACCGGATATCCGAGCAACTAACTGCTGCATCAAAGTGAGAACTCGTAGGTTCTGTCGCTAAACCTGCAGTTCTATTTTATCATACTAGTCAAGTCTTCGACTTCGACAAAGTTCTCCAAAGTCGTTCGTATCAATGCCAGTATTCCATCTCTATTTAGTCGATGATTGAATCCTCGCGAAAGAGGACAGAGGGGGAGCATGAAAAAGTTGATGTATGGATAAGAGTGGAAGGTAGGAAACCTTGTGAATTGGAAAATTTGAATTTAATAATCACATTTCTCGATTATTTTTTTCTCTCGTATTTTATCAATTATTTTTTAGCAAGTTTTTCTAGTGTTTTTTTTTTTATTTTTTTTATTTTTTATTCCTTTTTTTTATAGTCTCTTTGAATTAAGATTGTAAAAAATTTGAACATTATACGTTTAGATGTATTAGATTATTTATGAATTATATTTTTAATAAGTTTTTATACTTTATATATGGAAAAATGATATAATCATCATTTGACAAAGTAAGTAAAATTAGAAAATTAACGTCGCGTTATATCATTTAATCAAAGTATTATTGAAATTGTTGTTTTATAAATTTTATAAATTAATGATGAATTTGAAAATTTATTAAAGAAACTAAACGAACGAAATAAGCTTTCACAAAATATAATTGATAATATTTTTTTTTTATAATAAATTAATGATAAGATCAAATAACCTGTTAAAAATATACGAATAATACAGAAAAAAAGGATAAAAAAACTTTATTCAATAATTATGTAAATAAATTTTTCTAATTATGCATGATTAACGAAAATATATTAATTAAAATTGATTGTCTATGTATGTGAAAGGTAAAACTGAGAAATACATAAATATCATTTGATGATTACTCATGAACATTTGAACTTAGATGCCAAGTTAAAGTTAAAGCTTAGACGTGCAAAATTTTAAAGAAGAAGAAAAAAAATTCATCACTTCAACATATTATCGAAATTACACTAAAAATTAAATATGTACATTATTATTAAATATGTACAATTAAACGTAAATTATTATACCAAACGCGCTTGTACATTTCAATTTTTGTATGAATATTGTATACTAGAATATTATCAATTAACAATACACAAAAATTCTAAATATACTTAGATAAATGATCATAAATTCAACGATAAATGCTAATTAACGAGTATCGCTATTATAATTAAAGGTAATCGATAACGGATGTTTATAATTTAACGATAACAATTAACTTGTAAATAAAATAATCAAATATTTCTTTTGTTGGGTTACTATCATTGCATTAGCAGTCCAGTCTGTTATCGTAACTTTCGACTAAGGATTTCCCGCAGGCGTTACACGAAACGTGATTTCAGATTTATCGACGACGCGACTGAATGAGAGAAAGAGAGAATGAGAGAATGAGAGACAGAGTGGATAAGTGATGTATATATGAGGTAGGGGTAAAGGATGGGAGAAAGGTGGGAGAGATATGAACAAAGAAAGCTCAAATCGGTTGTGTTAAAGCTAGGCTCTAGAGATTTCAGTAGCACGTGAATATCAGTCGCTTGAGCGGGTACGTCGAACCTCCAGATGGATAGATAGATCTTTCGCTTTGCTTTTTTCGTCAGAGGACTCGTGACCCTATTTTCGTTTTTTTTTTCTTTTTTCTTTTCTTTTTTTTTTAATGCCTCACCTAGGTGTACGTGTGTCTCCGATGGATCTGCGATCCAATGGAAAACTGCCAGTCCGCCAGACGTGTGAATACCGAGATTATTCAAGCGAATTGTGATTTATATACCGTTTACTTTTCCCAACTAAAACCAAAAGGCAGTATTTTTTCATCCTTTCTTATTTGACACTCCGGTCTTAAGAGACGGATAAAATATGCATTTACAATAATCTTTATAAAGAAACTCCAATAATATCAATTTTAGATGATATAAATTTAAGGAGGGAGGGTGTGATATTGTGCATGCAGTAGTGAAAAGTTAAGGTTAGTTTAAATGTAAATTAATTTTTATACAAAGAACGTTAGGCATTAGTAATTCGTCAAATTACATGTATAATTTATGAATTAAAAAGAAAAAAAAGAAGTTTTAATACGTAAAGTCAATTTTAATTAATACTCTTAAAATACCACAGCGTACACGCGCGCACACGTACATATTATAAGTAATTCAGGGGCACATCTCACAAATAATTAAAAAATTAATATTTGTCACACAGTGCAATACTTGATTTATTTTCATAACATTGAAAGCTGTAATTTATCCTTACGCCAATAATTTATTCTTTAATATAAAATAAGAAAATATATATATATATATATATATATATATTAGATAATTGAAACCCCCTTGAGTGGAGCATTATAGAATCTGCTAACAACAACATAATTAACCATCAACATCAACATTGAATATATTAAATTTATCAACAACGATAATACAATGTCGATAATAACTTAATAATAGAATTTAACAATGCAAAAACGTAAGCTCGTCTTAAAATTAATACGTTGAGGTCTCAGTAGCCGCAGCAGAAAAGAAATTACGAATCCACCTAATGCCTCATCCCCTATTAGCCTGTCAACCCTTTCACTTTGTGTTCAAGTTAATATTTGTTCGTGTAGACGATGTACTACGACCAAAATTGCTTGCTTTTGTACAATATTTGCTTGTTAACAATATCTCATGAGTATAAATATTACGTTCATACTGAAATCAGTAATCAAGAATGCATTAAGTGCCAACGCAGCACATATTATAAATATAAGTGAAATTTCTTTGTTTTTTATTCTTATTACAAAAAAATTAAACAAATATATTTCTTTAACAAGATTATGTAAAGAGTATAAGTTATTTTTTAAATTGTCCATGTAATAAGTTGTATAAATTTTTATTAAAAAATTAAGACGAATATTGTCATCAATGTATCAATGATTAATTCGACTGTTTAATATAAAATCTATTTATAACAATGAATAAAATTAACTCTCTGCTCATCTTATAATTTTCATAACATAAATATCTCATGCTATTTTCACATTTTCCTCCTATTTATGTTTCCTTCGCATTATCGACTGTTTCTCAAAGCATGTATTTATAAGTTAAAAGAACGTAGGAAATAAGATTTTATAGATACGGATGGTTTTGAACTCATTATCGAATATAATGTCAAGCTGTTATGAGCTTCACCCAACACCATGTGGATTTTCCCTTTAATAAATGCGTTTACTATACAATAAATGATAACGAATTAGTACTTAACAACTGGAGCTCCAATAATCTAACTAAATTCTATCATATCTATTTAGTACCGTAGTAATGTTATTACATCGATTATATAAGATTCCCAATTTTCATGTCAACGCAAAAATAATTAAAATATTCTTTTAACATCTTTTATTTTTCATTTCATCTTTTATTCTTTAACAATCAATATATTACACGGATTTTTTTTTTTTTTTTTTTTTTTTTATTTTTTTACCTCAATCTATGCATTTTTATAACATTCTTAATACAAAATACCAAAATACAAAAGTCATTTACTGCCTTGTAAATAGGATTCATGGAAGACTGAATGTGGCTCAAGTGTAGCTACGAGTATTTGAAATTCCACTCTTGCTATTATTTTATTTTACATATTCTAAACGCCTTCCAATGGTTATAGCATTTAATCGAGCTCGCTACTTGCAAACCCCGCCTCTTTCTTTGGTTGAACTATTCCTTTGCCTAATTTGTCTCCACTTAAAACAAAAAAAAAAAAAAAAAAAAAAAAAAAAAAAATAAGAAAAACAAAAACAAAAAATAAGAAAAACAAAAAAAAAAAATCTAGGAATCTTATTCCATTTAGTCCTCTCAACTCATTGTCTATCGCGTCCATTTGCATTTATCGGCTATAAGCTATGCGACATTTTTCGTATCCTTATAACGAAATTTCTCTCTAAATTAAGTTGACTCGAATTCGATTTTAAGTCTGACGTACGTTGGTAGCAACAGCGTCTTATCCTCCTTCGAACGGCAAACCCTATTATTATTATTATTATTATTATTATTATTATTATTATTATTATTATTATTATTATTATTATTATTATTATTATTATCATTATCATTATTATTATTATTACAACTATTTTATGATAATAATTATATTGTTACTTTTGACAGTTATATAATGAATGTAATAATGCTAAGACTTACCGATAAATACATATTATTGGGAACTCTATTATATTCAATTTTCCAAACATGTATTTTTCTCATGCTTTGGTAACCTCATTTTATAATTCTATAATGTTTTTATTTTCCAAGTAATTTAAAAAGTCTTAGCTATTTCCCTTATTTTATTTTTGCTTTTCATTTTTCTACACAGCTGGAATTTTCGAGTTATAAGATATTAGGTCTCTACGGAATGTCCCTTTTTTCTTATTTCTAAGAATGATAAATAAAACTCTAGCCAACATTATATATGGATATTTAAGAAACACAAAGTGAAGGAATTTTATATTATAATTTAATAGATTGATTAACAAATATGAATATATTGAATTCTATTTAGACTATCTACAATCTGCATCTTATGAAAAATTAGTATATGATCTTTATTAAAATAATATCTTCATTTGAATTAATCAAAAATTTACTCAATGGCATTGTAATATATAATTATATTTAATTAATTACCTAAGATCAATAATAATTGTGTTCCAAAATATTGAGAAGGGCTTAATAGGCCAACCGACAAAACGAATAACAAAAGTCATAAAATGACCAAGTGGATTGTATAAAAGGGCTCTTTCTTTGGTCAATAACGAATTGTTTGAATGAAGTTGATCCTAAAATTTATTACTCACTCGGTATTACAAAATAACATTGGTTACATAAACAAAATCATGTAATTGTAATTCAAGCTACTCAAGAAACTTCAAAAGAGCTCGAGAGAAATATCATCTTGTAATGATATTTTATCAATTCAATATTATTATAACATATTATTACAAATAATATTTGTTAATTGTTCAATTCTGAATTACCGAATGCAATAGATTACGTAAATTATTTAATTACAAAATCATTATCATCAATGTGCGTGCTTATATTACCTAGGCATTACAAAAGTACGAAGATATGTTTAACGAGTTTAACCGAATGATATTTTCTTTATTTATCTTAATTTATTATCAGGTATTATAAATTTATTATTATTTAATGTGAATATTTTCCTTTGTAAATCAATAATCCGGGAATATGAATTAATAAATTATAAAATGAAGCATACGACACAATATATTTTAATGTAATTAAGATAATTCAATCACTTATATAAAAACGGAATAAATATTAATTAATCCCAATGAATTAATGATATTTTAATACAGATTTAATTTTTAATCTTGTTTAAAGCATTAATAATAAATAACTATTAAATTTAATATTTTCATTATGTTTATTTTATGCAATATCAACAACGAAGATTTGTATCTCTTCGTCGACTACAAGTATTAAAATTCCAATTTTAAATGGATTTTGATTCCACTGAAAGGAAGGAACATCACACTTTAATATGATTATTTTCAATTCAATAATTCAGTAAACAAAGTATAATAAATAATATAAAAAAATCATCTTTAATTGTACTTAAATAATTAACTTTTTTCACCAATTAATTACAAACTTAACCAATTATGAATTGTTGCATTATATGTAATTATATTTATATTTAAATTTATGAAGAAAAAAAGAAACATAAAATGATATTCATGCTAATTTAATAATTGAAATCTTTTTTGGTAAGACTGGTAAGATTTTTTTTTCATTATAAACCCTATTCAAAATGCGATGTTATTTCATAGAATTCAAGTAACTAATATTGCTCATATAAAACTAATAAATAGCTTAGAATGTTTATAATAAAAACATCGTAATATTGATAGAAGATAAATCTACTTATATAGAGATTATCTACAGATATCTTTCAGTTATTATATTTATTATAATTTTTCATGAGATTATTATCAAATAAAGAAATACTCATTGTACTACAAAAATATTAATATTTTATTTAAATATTTTGTTGTTTTTATCGATGAACAAATTAAAATTAAAGCATAAACATTTGGTTCGAGAGCTTTTGCAAATGCAAATTTGATTGTACATTAAGATAATATTTTTATATTATTTGTAATGACATAAAATAATTAAATAGAAGCAGTATTCGTGTTTTATAAATATTCAATAATTACGCAAATCGAAAGGTCTTGATTAATATAAATTTCTATGAATATTTTTTTTATTTATAAATTTTATTTACAGAATATATATGAATATTCTATTTACATGAATAGACTAATTCATTTTCAATGTATCGTATGTATAATTTAATGCAGAAATAAACGCGCGTAATTTTTCTTTGATTTTTAATAAATGAGTTCTTATAAAAGTACATTAATTCTCGTCAAACAAAACAATATGTTTATATGTTTATATGTTTTCCAAGAAATGTTGTGTTGCTAAAGCTCTATTTAACTCTTATTAGTGCAATGATCCCCCTTTTCAGTATTGAAAGCTAAATGAAAGCTGTCGAATAACCGTTTCTTCTTCTTATTGATCCATATCGTAATTAATCATTACATATCTTAGATAATTTTTCAAAAGATTGGCCTAATATCAATATTTCAATAATTCAATATTCCATTTGCCTAATATTAAAGGGGAATCAAAAATGTTCAAACATAACGTACGGTATTTATATAATACGAGGCTCACTTGCTCCATAACAAAACTTTTATGACATTATCAATTGTCGAATCAGCATTAGCTTTACAAAAATTAATAAACGTCCATTGGTTTTCGCCATAACTAAAAGTTAAACAATTTGTATACCCTTACCTTTTCCGAATCTGTGTCTGAATATACACGCCCAGGACGGTATTCAGGCGGTAGGTAGGCTCTGGCAGTATCCGGCGGCGCCTGCAGCAGCATCACCCGACCTCGTGGCGTCAGCTCAAGGGTGTGAGGTGTTACAACGGGCCCCGATCTCGAACCACCTACAACCCCTCCATCTGCAAATAGTCGAATAACAATGGTAAGCCAACCATTTCATAGATGGTCGTTGAGTTATTTGAAGCGTTCTCGATGCTCAGATACTTGCAAAGATTACGACTTAATGATAATGGGACGTCATTTGTTACTCCAATTATAATGATACGGCTATTAACATTAACATGGAATATCATACTCACTCTCTCTCTCTCTCTCTCTCTCTCTCTCTCTCTCTCTCTCTCTCTCTTGCACTATATATGTAGCTGTCTGTCTATCTATCTACCTATCCGTCTGCCCATCATTGCACGTATACAATAAATTAATTTAAAATTGATTACATTACCTGTATTCAATACTGAATGTATTCAATTAGTTAAACGTGTTCAGAAATCATCTGATAAGTTAGATAGACGGTGACGCAATTAAATTAATAAATAGAAAATATGGTCAAATTTATTGTTTATTAGTAGTTATATTTTTTTTAGCCTATAACTATCATATATCGTAATTCTAAATCATTACGTGATAGAATAAAATTTTTCGTCATATTTTTATACATTAAATTGAAATTAATCCTTACGATAGATTAAAATTACAAATTTTTTTTTTTTTTTTGTTTTTTTTTTAATGTTTTTTTTTTTTTTTGTTTTGTTTAATGAAAAATCTATGAACGTACGTTGTCTTACAGTATTCTGGTAAAAGTGAATAAACGGAGGTAAAATGGTTATAAATTTTTCTTCAAACATTTTCCTTCTATCAACGTGACAATTTTAAATTAACAATTGGGCCATTATTTTCCATTTAGAAATTTGCAAGCCAAAAGTAGAAAGTTTAATTTAAACGGCTGGTTGATTTTTCATTTGTCTCTCTTGTTTCGACTTTTCCGTACCATAAATGTAAGCTCGTGTGTTGAAGCGATAGTAACGTAATGGATGGACATTTATTTGTTAAATTTTCAACGAGGTTCGACGCACGGCTACCCTGTTTGAACTGTCCTGCTAACGGATACAAGAACCACTGAAAGTAATTATACTACGATGACGTGCCTGGCTTGATAAAATAAACGATTGGCTCTTATATCAGGACGAGCTTCGCGCGAGCAATCGAACCAATGCAAGAATCTAAATATTATTTTCCTCAACTTTTGTTAGTGCTTTCATTTGATTTTCGAACGTATTTTCACCACTACGAGCGCATATTCTCAATTAATATAGACTGCTCTACAACTCTACAACTGAACCTAATTAATTTAATTAACAATATAATGAAAATATTATTATAAACTAGATAACTGATATTAATCAATGTACATCTATTTATGCAAAACAATAATGAGGATTATTTTTTGCAAATCATATTGCAAATATGAAAAATGCACTCCTTATTACATAAGATTTGACTGCGAAAGTACAGCGATGAATACGTTATTATACTTGTTCGAAATACGGGATGTAAATTTTTAAATTTCATTTAATAATACAAAGATCAGCATAGAAAATCAATTTAGATAGTTTTATTGTCAATAGATAAATATTCCTTATCAAATATTAGTACATTGAAATATGGATAAAATAACGTAATCTACGTTATGATTAAACGATTAAATATTATGATTAAAAAAGGAATCGGTAATTAAAATTTAAATATCTAATGATTAGATTAAAGTAGCAATTATCACACACCAAGAATACTAGAGAGAGAAAAAAATTAATTATACCACACAAACAAGCTTTTTGCAAGAATATTTAATGTTTCAATAGTTTAGTAAAATGAAACATTTGATTTAAGGTTAACAGTTCTATATAATACAAAATTCTACTTTTATATTAATATTATAAATATTTTTATTTGACATTGCAAACAACGTATGCAGTATGCGTTGATTAAAAATGATTGATGTTATAAAAAATATAACTCCGAATATTTTGGTATAACTTCGTCTACGTATCAATATTACATTAATTAATAATGTAATTAATGTGTACAAAGTACACACAATTTCCTGTATAACAAACATTATGCACAAGATTTTTATGTTAATCAGGTATTAAATATCAAGTGATTATGTCAGATCGTAAATAATCTCATTAGAAAGTTTTACAGTCTTTTCTCAACAATAGTGAAAACATAAATTTTTTATATTACGTTCAATGAAATGCCGATTTCTATCATATTTTTTATTTTATAGAATTTTTTAATATCTTTATGTACATTGAAATATAGATAGATAATTATATAAATTTCCAAGTGAGACAGAAAATTTCTTTTAATTTTGTTAAAAACTTGATGAAATTTTAATTAATTGCACAAAATTTCAATAAATAATTTGTAATAAATGTACAAAATTACAAATTTTCTCTATGCTTTCAAAAGTTCTTTATATTTCATAATTAATAAAGCACAATATTTTAATCATCTACATATCTTAATTAGATATTAGATATTAGATATCTTAATTAGATATAATACTATATTGAAGTAAAATATTGCTCTCAAAATAAATCATTTGTTAAAAAAAAACGAAGCATATTTGTATTTAGATTGAAAATACGACAAATGTTCAAAATTACATTGCTTTATAATTCTCTATAAGCAAAGCATATTTATTTTTTTTTGTCTGAATATGTATATATATAATTAAACATAATTTAGACTACAATGTAATATATTTATTACTTCACTTGTTCTTATCGTAATCAGCTAATGAGATTTTATACATATTACGTGAAATTAATGACTTAGCATACATGTAAAAAAACTTAATTAAACTCATAAATTACACATTAGAGTTCAATAAAGAACATATTAAATATAACAAAAATTTTTTGAATTTATAACAATATTATTGAATGATATTTATAATGTTATAATGTTAGTTGTGTTTAATTTTGACTTTATTTACTGGAAACATTAAATAATATTAATTTAATTTCAATGAACAATATGACAATAATTTTCATAAAATATCAAAGCATATTAATAATCAAGTTCGAAAAATATTCACATTAAATTCACATTAAAATTAATATTTGTCAATTATAGTTTCAATAAATAATCAAACGTTATTACTATTTATCGAATAAATCAATTGAAATCTTCGACTTGTTTGATCACAGTATCACACTGTCAAAGCAAATTTTCATTCCGATGAAATTCCATATCATCGAGAAACTGATTGCCAGTGTAAAGTTTGTCGTCTCCGTAACTAAATCGTAAAATGACGTAAATTCAGCGAAGAGCTTGAATTTACATAACTTCTCGTCTGCCCTAAGCTGAAAGCCTCGTTTCACACTTCAGATAAAGGAGGAGAAATGGGGAACGCATTTCATTGTTCAGACCAATGGTAATCTCAAAATAATGAAACTCATAGACTATTTTTACACTCTCTTTCGTTTTTATTTATTTTTTTCTTTCTTTATTTTTTTCTTTCCTTTGTTCAGGTACAATTCGTCCTCGAGTTAATTCGACTTCTGTATTCTCTAGAGTAACATTTTCTCTATTATATACTTGTTTTCATTTTTCACGTTGAACTATTGAATTGTGAAGAGAATCGAGATGTAATTCGCATGCGAGAGCAATAAAAAATTATATACAATCAAACATTTTTATTGGCATTAAGATGGAAGCTATAAGAATCAAAATCTATGAAACAAAATCAACGGTACTACAATTCCTTATTTTTTGTTGCAATATGTGCTTGCGTGTACTACGTATCTTAGAGAGAAAAAAAAAAAACTACTGAAAAAGATCAATCAAAGAAATGAAGTTTTTCTCTTTATTTTCACTTATTATCTTTTTTCAAATTATTTCTAATTGCTAATAAATGAAAAGCACAATAAATGATTATACTATTTAGCGAATTTTATGTATCTGATGGAATTCATGCAAAGTATAATACTAAAATATCTAGAATTAGTAATCGAATGAATTTAAAAGTTTGCATTTTACGTAAATATATGTTAAGTATGAAATTGCGCAGTTTCTTTCATATCGTTTATTTCATATTTCGCATTTAAATTCTCCATAAGTTGCATTACTTAAAATTACTTATCTAATAATTAAATATTCACATACGTAGCATATATATAATAAAAAATTTATTATCAAACTAATTCTTAATTAACGAATTAATTTCTATTATTTCTTTAATATACTGATTTGAGCATAAATACACACGTTACAAGAAACTATGAAAATAAAGAAGTTTATAAGATAAATTTTTGTGGAAATATTTTTTTTTATTACAACGAAATTAAAATTAGCATTTCAATTAGTTTAATGTAATAACAACTTAAATCTCATTTTCAAGGTAGAATTTGATTATTATTTATTTATTTAATACATACTGTAAGTTCATAATTTTTTTTATTAATGTTGATATTCTATTGATAATTTATTGATTTTCTATCAAACAATTATAAATTTTAATTATCTTCATATTTTGCGCTAAATCGATTAATTTCTAATTTTAATAATTAATCACACAAATAATGATATTTTTTTTTAACTATTTTTAAATATTCCTACACCAATGAATAAATAAGGATGGATGCCTTTATATTTCACATATGTAAAGTAAAGATATACATACAGTAAAATATTTAATATTTTTTAAAGATCTCGTTGACTAATCGCAGCACTTGATGCGTGAAAATATAATGAATCTAGCCAATAAGAATTCTAATGAGAAATGTAATGGAAATGTAATATATGAAAGATTACCAGGAGGAAGGTGGGGGGCATGATTTATGCAGACAATAGCAGACTCGAAGAAGCGTCCGTGTGACTTAATAGGAGAAGTATGATGGAACACGCCAGGATTGCACGTACTTAGAATCTATATTCATTCGCGCATTTGGTTCTCCAAATTCTTTACTTTTACGAGATTGTCTATTTGCAGAGATATTCGCTACTCCTACTCGGATATTCCGACGAATTGCCCGGATGAAGATCTGTGCAGCTGGAATTCGAGGTCGAACGTTTGGCAGCTTTTACTTTGTATTACTGCGTTTTATCACTC